GAATTACTCTTTTCCCACTGTGATATTCAATATCCAGGTAAGGCTTGAATCATTCTATGAATTATTCAAAGCCTTTTGCATATTCAGCTACACTGATGTGATGTGTGGGTGATATTTGTAGCAAATATAAAAATACAAAGAATAACATGATCTAATATCATTATATAGACTTCTGGTAATCAAGCCTATTTTGTGTAAACTCAGCTCAACAAAATACACTGTATGTTTTAGTATACTACCTAGTATTTTTTAAAATATTGACTACTCATAAGTTAATATCTACCACCATATAATTTTCTCTGTTACCTCCTGATGGAAGTCTGGCCACATAGGTTAATGTTTACTCCTGAATCCTAATTATGGAATTTATGAATCATGACTTGGAATCAGTTTTTATTTATTAACACCCGAATGTGTGACTAACATCACTATTGATAATTCTTAGTTACTGGATAAGCAGCAAAAATCATAAGCTGAGTCAGGACAAACTCGCTCAGTCATGCCATTCTTTTTATTTATTCTGGATGAAATATAAATGCCACAACATTCATTGTGGTCATTCAAATTTTTATTTAACGTTGTACTCCCCCTAGAGATAAATTTTTTTCCTTATGAAATAGAATTTCTAAATGTATGGTACACACTGACTATGTATAATAAATGTACACATGTAACATTTTACAGCAAAAAATACTGGCAATAAATACTGAAAAATGCACAGATGATGTAGTGGAATGATCTTCAAAATTATTGTAACTAGAAGCCAAAGGTATAGGAAACACAATTTGGAGAAAATATAATCTATCAGGATAAAACATACATTTTTATGCTATGGAAGACCAACTTCTGTCTTCCATGTCAGCATCATTGCAATTCATACCAATAATGAAACTCATGACTGCCCAAGGGCTGCTCCCCACAGAGCATGATTCTTTCCAATATTCACAATTCATAATAATCCTCAGAAAACACTGACAATCATAGATAATCATTGCCTATTAGATTCTCTCAAAACAAGAGTGAAAAATACAAAGAAAGCATCATTACTAACAACAAGCCCATGCTATTATTTATTTATTTATTTATTTAGTCAGTTGTGGGGATTGAACTCAGGGCCTAGGCACTGTTTCTGAGCCTCTTTATGTTCAAGGCTAGTACTCTAGTACTTGAGCCACAGTGGCACTTCCAGTTTTTTGAGTGGCTAATAGATCAAAGTCTCATGGAGACTTTTCTGCCCTGGCTGGCTTCAAATTGTGATTCTCATATCTTAGTCTCCTGAGTATCTTGGAATACAGGTGTGAACCACCAGCATCTGGTTCCTGCTATTACTTTCAATGTGTGGATTATAGCTGGAGAAAAGACTTCTAATTGCAATTCTGAGCTATCTGGGCTATGAAGATTCTTTACTAATAGTTATACTCCCCAAATAAGAGATCATACTAACATTGTATGACATGATTTAGGTTTATGGGTACATTTTTAATGCTTAAATCTCCATTTAAAATATCAACACATTTTAGGAATGTTCTTCCATACACATTCCTCTTTTAAGCTGTCTCTTAATGAAACATTCTAGAAGATGTTCTCTGATTAAGTAGCTACTCTGCTTGTCTTCGGGCCTCATGTCCCTCCTACCCCATCTGCCAAATTCCCTTGATTCAATTTCCTTGATTGAATTCTCCCTTGTTGAGGATTTGCCTATGTGCATTTCTTCTTTAGCTAGGCCTTTGCTCTTTTTTTCTTTTCTCTTTGAATTCTATTATCAAGAAGACTATTTTTACCTTCCCTGTGACCTCATTAATGCAGGATGGTTAAGGATAAGGAGACAACAGATATCAACAAAGAGAAGTGGCTAAATCCAGCAGATATCTTTCTTCCTCTTCATTCTCATATTTGATCTACCATGAGAATGATAGTTATTTTTCAAGTTAAATCTTAGAGCAAAACAAAGTCACTTTGTTTTCATCATATTCATATCATCTTTATTAGTTAGGATAATATTAGCTATAATGAATTCATGAATTAAAAAAAAACCTGATAAAGTCAGTTTCCACTCAACTCTTGACTGAAAATTCTTCCATAGTGTGATACCATATTACGCCCTTAATCTCAGCTATTTTTACTAAGTCAATGTATTTGTCTTATAAAATACCTTGAAATATACACACACATATATATATGTATATATCAGGCAAGATAGAAATATGGAAGCTACATTGTCTTTTTATGCACGAGGTAGGCTTGTCCTAAGTTAAGATATTATCTAAGATAAAATCATAATGTCAGGGTGGGTTGGTATTTTCACTAAAAACAAGAAGGAATCTAATATCCAGTTTTTGGTTAGGGGACAGTGAAAAATCTGCTAGAAGACCCTTTGAATCTCAGGCTATCTTCTTACCCTTTCTTCCCTCATTTTCTGTCATTTCTATTCTAAATGTGGTGATTTTTTCCTCTGTACTTAATCACAAGTCAGTTCCAGAAGCAGAGGAGGAATGGAAAGGAAGAATTCTCTAGATATTTTTTTAACATACGTTTATATAAATCAACTCAAGCTTTGTATATGATGCTTAACTTTTCTCCTCTTTTTCAAGAATACAAAATCTTTGCTTAAGTGCCACCTTGGAATGTAAAAGATAAAAGAAAAATTACTGCCTTTTCCTATATAGCAAAGACCACTTCAGAATTGTTGGACTAATCTAGTAGCAGATCACCTTTAGGGATTTCAGTGAAATCCCCTCCTGGGGGTTAGGCAGCGACATAGAGGTGCTATATCACGTATGCCTGTGGAGTGTTACCTTCAATGCCTATATATTCATTTGTCACTTAGATTATGAAAATTCACCTGCTACTGCAAATACAACCTTTCTGATATAATTCAAGACATCAGAATATTAACCTGAGATATATTGCTCTTACTTTTTGACAGCCTCTGGAATATCCCCTGAAAGCCAGAGGGTGGGAGATAAATAGACTCTTTGTGTTGTGTTGATCAAAATGTTCCTGCTGTGACAACTCTGTGTAATTTTCTTTTCACTGATCTGCACCTGAGGTGCAGCAAGCATTTGCTGCTTCAGGTTTTATCTCTGGTCTGACCTCATACCTGACTTTGCTAACTTTGTTGCACAAGAACATTTTATGTGCAAGAAACTCTAGATCACACTTGTATAGAAGTGTAGCATTATGCATTTGCAGGTAGCCCAATTAAAAGGTTAAGGAAAGCAAAAGGGGAGTTGTATGGGAGTTTTCAGTGAAGTATATCTATAGATATTAGGCAAATTCATTCTGCAGCATATGACACAACCCATAAGATCAATTACAGATATTTATTTGATCAAGACATCATTAGGATGAGCTTGATAATGATATTACACATAGATCACACATATCAGACAGATTTGGAATACTCTGACCAAATTCTAATCTCTACTATGAAATTTCCCCAGGCAGCTTAGGAAAACAAACTGATATTGTGCTATCGAAACCTAAGCACCACTACAATGAGGTATAAAGACTAATAATAAGCAGAACAGAATGGCAGTTTGTCATATCTGGAAGCTATCCACTTTCTATATAGGAAAAAACCCACTTATGATATATATTTATGGCATCCTTATTTGTCCTTTTCCATCCCAATATAATTAATTATAACTTCTTAGAAATATTCTCATACATATCAAGATATACACATACATTATATTTTCCAACATCAAAAAGCTTGTACTAAAGATGGTCATCATATTTTATCTATTTTGTAAATATCCACCCATATTTTGGGTAATTGATTTAAATCAAGAAACTAACCATGGTTTTAACTCTTCAAAGAATGAGAATTTTCTAGTCACTGTTACACTTACCACTGCTCAATAAAAAGACAAAAAGACCATTCATGCCCTGTAAAAGTAAGGCCTCCCCTTTTTCCACCTTCTAGCATAAATTCTACCTGTGTTTGGACAAAATAGGCTTCTGTTCTTTCCATTCATCCATAATGGGAGACAATTTCAGAGCTTACACAATTGAGAAATGGTTCTTATGTAATTCTCATCATCACATCTGTTGCCTCTCTTAATTGTTAGTGAGAATGCATACTTTTTTTTCAGATAATTTATTCCACACTTCTCTTACACCATCAAGTCAATTTTGTTTATTCATTCGGTTACAGAATGAACCATTAAATCTACTCCTGAATGGCTTTTACTGGTCCTGATGCAAAAATCTATCTTATGATTAGTTATTTATGAATATGATATAGATTTACAAGACATAATTACACAATAAACTATTAAAACACCAAGAGAGTTCCAGTAAAAACAAGAAAAACACATTAAAAAGGACAAATGTTAGTGGTTACTAATACTTTAACCAGTGTTAGTCATTTTACAATGGTTGCCATTAAACTCCATATTTTGCTTTGTCACACATAAAAACTATTCTGATAATCAATTCAGCTAGATGGCTAATTTATATTATTTGTTAGTCCTTTTAATGACATGGTGATGACTTTATTAGCATGAGTAGTACAACATTTCTCAGGAATTTGGGTTTTCTTCCTGACATCATTATTATGGAAATACATCAAATTAAAAAACAGAACAAAACAAATTCACACTTCTATTCCTAAAGTATTTCCTTTCCCCACTGCGTCTCACAATGTACCCTTTAGTCTTCAGGTACCTGCTGCTGCTACTTTGGGGGATTTAGGCTTTTCGGGCTTTTTGCAACCTGCTTCTTTCTGTTCTGTCCTGTAGGGAGAGTGAACTTCTCAGGAATAGAATCTGATATTTACAAAGCAAAGCATTCCAAGTTGACACGCGATCCTCCACTGCTTTCACACGAAGTGAGGAGGACCTATTCATTGGAGGTACTTCAGATCTTAGGTGCGTTTCACAATAACGCGTTTCAGGTGCATGTTTAAGGTCTCGGAAGACTCTGAACCTAGGTGAAACGACTTTCTAGTTTGAGCTCCTTTCACACACACAAAAGGGTCTGAAAAGGTAACGTACCTTTATGTGACAGGCGTAGCCGGGGGTAGGGGGTTTCCGCCGTGCGCCCTCCGGGCCAGCTCTGCAGCAGGTGAGCGCACAGCAGCCAGGTGAGAGTCAGACCCAGGGATGCCATGCCGTCACCCCACAGCTCTACTCCAGGCAGGTTTGAGTTTTCCTGAGGACTCTCCTCCCCGGGGAAGCGCGGCTGGCGAAAAGCTTTGTCAGAAATCAAACGCGTTGTCATCAGCAACCACCATGCCCCAGTGCCATTTGTCTGGCTGTCTTTGGACCGGTCAGACCTGGCTTTCTTCCGTCAGTTGTTTCAGAGAGAGGAGGCAGAGGACGTCCCTAGCACCGAGCTTTCTGAGCCATGCCCACAGTCTGGAGCTGTCTTCAGGAACTCTGCCCGCAGAGTGGGGAAGGAGAGGCTGTATTTTGTTCATGCACCGGCAGGCGTTTCATTCAGAAAACAAACCCAGCACACACGCGCCTCTACCCCGCAGAGCTCTCTCCTTCAGCCTCCCCCAAGCCAGCCTCCTGCACCGGCTTGCCAAACAGCTACTTTGAATTCACCTTTCCCCTTGCTAATTAAAAACAAGAAGAGCCATTCCCTCCAGGAGTTGCGGATCCACCCAGCAGGGATGCCGTCTGTCAGAGCGCTGTGTTTACAGGAAAGTTCAGGCAGGGTTGAGCAGCTACTTGCTGTTTCTAGGAAGTATTTCTGGTCCACGTGCCCTGCCCGCGTCTCCCTCCCAGTTACAAGTCCTGGGAGCCTGGAGACCAGAGCGGGTTTGGATGGTTGGGGTGGGGGGAAGGGCGGGGCTGAAGGAGCCTATATAATAGTCCGATTATTTAAGATGTAAGACAGGGATGCAGCGTTTGAAAGGGCTTTAAAAGACTTATTCGCCAAGATTAAGCCTTGAATAAATACTTCATCTGTTTGTTCACATACCAGTGCCTAAATTATTTCTTTTCCACTGTTAACACAGTCTTTTTCCATAATTAAAGCTTTTTTTTTCCTCTTGCTTCCAGCATAGAAGTGTTACTTTTAACTCTTCGGAGCAAAGTGTCTTTCAAAGAGCCTGAAAAACAACAACAACAGCAACTATGTTATCTGTAATTGCTTCTTAGATGGATTTGGCATGGAATTCTTTGCCTAGGCAACATTTTAAAATCAAGTTAAAAAACTAAATCTTCTTCCTCCCCTAGAGAATGTCATAAAGTCACTTCAACATTAAGAGAAAATACATTGTGAGTCAATGATCTAGTTAAGGAAAGCGGTGAAGTTGAGAATAGGTCCCGGTAAAGCGGGTATTAGAAATCTTAGGATGTGAAATATCTCAGGATCCAACTGCTGGGCAGCCTTCCAGTTTATTTTCAAGACACTCTGTTTGTGTAAATAAACTTAACACAATAGATTGACTTTGCAATCTACTTTCAGTCAATCTCAAAAACTAAACCAAACAATCTGGGGCTTCTGGAATGGAAATGAATAGTATTATTTTAAGATTAAAAAAAAAAACTGAGATAGATATTTGATCTGGCAGTTGAGTTACATCGTAAACAAATGGTATCAACTAGAACTTCTCTTATTCTGTACTTTAAATAGCAATGTCTACAGATAGGTTTTGGACAGGATGTGCTTAAAATCATGTGATTATAAGAAAAAGATAACTCAGGTCACTCCAATATTTTACATTATATACAAGCCAAAATAAAGCCAGCCATCCCTTATCCACATATACAAGCAAGCAGAGTATATTTAGCAACATGTAAATGTCATTGGCTATTATAAATAATTAGATTTCTTATGTCAAGAAAAATACAGACTCCAGATATTATTTAACATTAAAGCAACATGAATTATTTAGGAACTTTTAACCTGGGGAGGTCTCTGTAGATTCTTGCATATTTATAAAGCTTCCTTGATGAGCTACAGGCCTTATTGTGATATATTATACCTTCAAAATCACTTTTCTTTTCTTCCAGAATTGAAATAACTATAAAATGGCAACTTTTATATTCATTTTCTAACAAGGGGATTCTGGAAAAAGAAAGCATAGTTCTTGTTACTTTTATTATAAATTATACACTCATGAAACTGAAATTCTGCATAATATTGTGTCACTGCCTGTCCTGTTATAGAATTAGGCAATTTTCAATAGCATAACCATTTCATTAAGACAAAAAGTCAAGCTACTAAAAGTTTATGGAGGAATAAAGGCTACCAATGCCAAAATTTGTCTTCAGTTTTACAAAATCATTGCTCAGATTATGTTAGGGCAATTTTAAAGTACATACCAAAATATTGGATTCTTTGGGTTCTTCCAATTTTACTTTGGTTTATTTATCAGACATAATTTTCACCTTATCATGATCATATTGATGATCATGTGATGTCATCATCATACCCCTTTTAACTTCCTGTCTGCAATAGAAAACATACAGATGTCAAAAAAAATGATTAATAAAAAGCTAAACATCCAGAGCTATCCTTGGCTTCAAATTCCTTCCTATGGCTGTAGCTCTGAAACAGTCTTTGGCACATTATTAGTTATGCACTTGGTAAAATAAAATAACACTAAACTTCAGAAGCAAATTCACCATATAAGTTATTATCTAATAAAACAGTTTTGATGGCAAATGAGGCTTTTATTAGTAATCACAAAGAAGCCAAATATACTATAGATAAATCAGGGTATCAGAGTCACATGACTTGGGAGAGAGTTTATTTATTTTTAGAAAACATGACAAATGGGAGAAAAACTTAAACAAACTAACAAACAAAACAAACTGAGTTATCACCAAGAATGATTGAAGTGTTTTACTGGACTAAAGTGATTTAGGATTAGCCACAATATCTAGTGATTCCACTGTTGATTTGAGAGTAGCCAAGCTATCAGTTTGAAAAATATCAGACACTGTTTAAAAAAAAAAAAAAAAAAAACTAGATGAGAAGAGAAATGAAGGTATGGATTGGGAAGTCAAGTGTTTCATTCCAAAAACTTCCATTATTGTTAATCTTAATATTAGTCTTATATCATTGTGTGAAGAATGTTCTGAATCTTATAAGAGAAAAAAGGGAGAACTGATTGTATATCAGCAGTCCAGCTCCTCTATGAGTTCTGTCATAGTTTCCCCAATTTGAACAGAAGGACCATGAACCTCTAAAACAATACTTCCAAGGAGTCAGCCCAGACACTCTGCTGATAAATCCTATGGGACGCTTGTTCACAAGAGCAGATTCCGATGCCCTCACCCAAGTTCTCAATTAGCCTCAAATTTTATATATCAAAATTAGATATTTTATAGAGGTTCCTTTAGGCCTGTATTATCTAAACATTAGCCACTGGTTTGGCACACATATGATTTATGTTGCAATAGCATAGTATGATGAAAATTCATCTTAAATGTAAAAAAAGAGGTGAGAAGTTTGAAGTGACAGGTGGAGGTAGGGATAGTCTTCAATCTCCTCAAGAAGATCATTTTTTTCTTCCCTTCTAGGAATATGGGAACAATACTTATCAGCAAAATGGCAGTATGTGAAACCATGTGTGATAAATATCCTATATGGGATGAGTAGTGACTTAGGTACTCCTAAGAAATTTTTCCACCTTTCTCAAATCTTCCCAATAGAAGAAAGGAAGACATCATCTCACAATGAAATGATGAAGCCTGAAACACCCTGGTTGGTAGAATCAGCATATTGGGGACACTCATCCTGTAAAGTAACCTAAACCCATAGTGGACTTCATATGAGCAGGAACTAAACATATTAAGCTACTTGATTATTACTAAACCATAGCACATCTTTCCAGGATTTAATGCACCTACATTACCTGCTGTGCCTGAGAATCATGCTCTTAGATAAACACAACATCAGCAAATCCTTGACATTTTATTCCTTTCTTTAGTTCAGCAGAAATTACTAATATAGTTAGGGAGAGTTGTAGGCTAAAGAAGATGTTAAGTATGTCAAGTGTCACTTTCAGAATGGAGTGGGGAATACCCTTGTTCTAATTGAGTACTATATGCGAAAATGATGACATGAACATTATTTATAGGTGAATAATGTAGGACTACATCTCAAGAACCTTATAATTAAAGCCATTAATAGACCAAAAATATCACAATAGCCATGGTGATGAACCTTTTTTGGAGCTAAAGATAAAATTTCGCTGTGGTAGTTATGGAATTTCAGCTTCACTAATCCATCTTCCATTCCTGTTGGCCCTGCTATTCCAAGGATGTCCAGTCTGGAGCAGCTCAAGTGTCCCATCAATAGGGCCTGCTGCTGCAGCTGCTGCCACCATTGCTGCTGCTGGGTTTTACAAGCTAAGGCTTCTGATTCTTTTATGGGCCATTCAATTCAAATGCCTTAGATCATAAAATTTGTATCTGGATAACTATTACTACATTGTAGTGCGTCAGGAAGTTGAAGAGAAACAGCAAATGAAATTACTCTAGCGTAGAAGCCTATTGATAATGATCCATCAGGTCCAATCCATTCACCTGCTTGGCAGAAGTTAGATGCTGTTGTGATGTCACTACCAGGATAAAATATGAAATAAAATATGCCAGGCGCCAGTGGCTTACGCCTGTAATCTTACCTAATCAGAAAGCTGAGATCTGAGGATCGCAGTTCCAAGTCTGCTGGAGCAGAAAAATCTGTGAGATTCTTATCTCCAAAAACTACTCAGAAAAAAAGCATGAAGTGGGAGTGGCAGTGTGGTTCAAGTGTTCAAGTGGTAGAGCACTAGCCTTGAACACAGAGAGACTCAGAGTCAGAGTTTAAGTCCCAGGACTAGCAAACATAAATAAATAAAAAAGTCAATAGAGAAATGAAATGTAAGATGAAATATAAAACTTAATATATGTTGGTAATTACTGGTTGTACCTATAGTGTTTGTAATATATTACCAGCAGTTTAAAAAAATGTAATGTCATCCTTCAAACTGATTCCATCTTATTCGAATATAGTCCTTTTCTGTAAGCTATGCACCCTGAAAGGCATGTTGATAATTTAGTCAAACTCTGATAAGAATCCTATACAGTGGGAGTCATTTTTATTGCTTTACACATAAGGTAAGTCTACCACACAGATGTTCAGCAATTTGCCTGAGGTGAAGTACTAGTAAGTTGCCCAGACACACATTCCACAATCCATGTTCCAATAATTGCATTGTCTTTCCATAGAGTGCAAAACTGTACAACAGTTCTTTCAAATAATATGCCAGCATAAGGCTATCTCTACTACATGTTAATAATATTCATAGCTTTATAAACAAAACAAAATAGCAACAACAAAACATTCAATGCAGTTGGTACTTAGTCAACAACTGTTATCTGAGATTGAACTCACCTGATAAAGCCCTATAAGCCAGGTTAACTCAGATAATAAAAACTGACCCTTGTAGGCTGATTGGTCTTTGATTAGTCTTCTTGGGTTAGTAACAGAGTTAAAGACAGTAGGTAGAATTATTTTTTAAAAACACCTTTTAAGAAAACTAAAAAATTAATATTTTAAGAAATATTACCAAATTTGTCCTATATTTGAATGTGTATATATGTATATGTATGGATATATATATGTCTAGTTTTGGTTACAAGAACATTAAGAAGTTCCATATCTTAGCGATAGTAAATAATGCTGCAATAAACATAGTCGTG